AATCAAACTCTATCAGTCGGTTAGTCTGTCGGTTAGTCTTGTGAACGATGGAGAACATACATAATCTCTCGGACGCTGTGGGTATAATACATGCGAAAGCTTTGATTCTTATCAATAGAACCGGAGCATTATCAGCCACTGTGCAACGGTTCTGATGAACGATGCTATGGCAATGAACCGTATATTGAGCAAAAAATAGGAGAGAAGATGACGATGATGGTGTAGAGAGGTCGGGGATCTCTCGTGAAAGAAACATAAATTTATAATTATATCATATATGTATAGAAATAAATAAGTTAATAAATATTTTTTCTCATTCTATTTTATAAAAAAGCTGTGCTAAAATATATGTATATTTGAACTGTATATCCGGGGTAAGGAATTATTCGGCTACCTTCCTATTATCTTTTTTTCATCCTTTACTCATTCCTCGGTGGTTTCATGTTACACCACGCGTGCCGACGTTATCATGACGTCTAACGGTGTCATCGCGCTCTCATTGAACGTTCGATTTGCACTCATTAATTCGGTAGAATAAAAATCTTAAACCTTTGCGTGTGAGAGAAGAGACAAAACGTGAGAGTTAGATAGAGAATGCAACGGGAGAAAGAGAAAGAAAAGATAATAAGTATAGATAGTAAGACGTAGCGCGCTCGACTGCTCGTCTTATACTATTAAAATATTATTAAAATTAGTTACTAAGTCATAGCATTCAAAAATTGAAAATAAATACCATATCTATTTAATAAAATATCGTCCAAGAAGAAAAGAGAACGTAGGAGAGAATACAACGGGAGGAAAAGAGAGTGCGAATAAGTAATGGTAAGTATAGGACCGCAACGGGTGGGACAGAGAGAATCCTACAACGGGTAGGAGAGAGAGGACAACGTTTTCGTCATCATCACCATTGTCATCAATGCCATCAAAATATAAGCTATAAGTTAAGTATTTTTTTTGTTTATAGACGCATTTAGGATGACTAATGCCAGTGCCGGATTAGGGCATAAGCAAAATAAGCTAAGCTTAGGGCCTCGCGATGCGAGGGGGGCCTCGTCCTCCCGAGAACGTATCGGTTCTGCAGTGATGCTAGAAGGAGGAGGCCGGGAGAGGCGAGAGGCGAGCAACATGCAACGATAGTGGAGGGGATGCGCACAAATGAAAATCGCGTGCGTGGAGTCACACGCGATTTTCATTTGTGCGCATCCCCTCCACTATCGTGTTGCTCGCCTTTCACTTCTGGCGTCACTGGTTCTGAGCTCTGCTTATCGCGGACGCTATAATACGCGATACGCGCGGTCCCTCTAGGCAGCCCCTACGCTTAACGCGCTGCATAGCGCTATCTATTGCTTGCTCCTCCCGATGTTAGAGTTATAAGCGGCTGGCTTCTTCGTAGGATATCGCACGGTGTCCCTTTTATCTACGAAATTTTTACTTTTCATTAAAAATTACAGTTTTAATTAGATTATTACGTTTCCACTAATTTTTTTTACTTCTATCCTATATTATATTCACAGATAAAAGAAAACATACGTTATAAAAAATATTAAATACAGTTATAGTTATAGAGTAAGGGTGATTTCACAGGTTTCTTTTTAAAAAAAAAAAGCTTTTTCAATTTTTCTAACGACCTGTGAATCCATCATAAAATGAAGAAATTTAAAAGCGGTTTTCAAAAGAGAAAACAAAAACAAGAACTTGAAATACAGCTAAAAAAATTGCCTAGAGTAGACAATTATTTTATGGCAATGGGAAAACAATCCCATGAACATACGACAGGTCAAAGCAGTCAAGAAGAATATTCTGGCAGTAGTGCCAGTACATCTTCTGAAACTGTAACTAATGCAGATTTTGAAATTAAAAAACTTTCGGAATCTGACATAAATAAGGTAGAAAATACAGATGAGGACGAAGACATGAAAGAGCTGGAAGTGCAAGAAGTACCAGGGCCTGACGTTGAAACTGAAAAATACACTAAGGCCAATGATATCGGTCTTTGGACAGCATTAAATACTGATGACATCGCAGATTTAATTCAAGAAGGTTCGGAAAATTATCAGCATTGAACGGGCCCATTTCTAAAATCGAAACAATCATTTCAAAATCAGATTAGATATTGTTCGGCTGGTCTCTTTCTGTCAACAAAAGCTAATGGAGAAAAATATTATAGAGAATGGCTAACATATTCGCCAACCACTGGTCGAGTTTATTGTTTCTATTGCAAGATCTTTTCATCGTCATCTGTAAAGTTAGCTAATGATGGTTTTAACGATTGGAGAAATCCAGCTGTAATTCGACAACATGAAAACTCAGAAGATCATAGATGTGCTTTACTTATATATTTGACGCGACGGCGAGGACTGAGCTTAAATACACACCTTGATAAGCAAATAGAGATTGAAAGAAAATATTGGAGACAAGTAGCTGAACGCTTGATCGCAGTTATTTCCACATTGGCGGAACGTGGATTAGCGTTCAGAGGCGATATTGAACGTTTTGGAGCATTACATAATGGAAACTATCTTGGTCTACTGGAACTTATTGCAAAATTCGATCCTTTTCTTGCAAACCATATAGAACAGTATGGCAACAAGGGTACTGGAAAATCTTCATATTTGTCTAAAACAATATGTAACGAACTCATTCATCTGATGGCTGAAAAAACGAGAACTTCAATTTTGAAAGACTTAAAAAAAGCTGGATATTTCAGCTTATCTGTCGACTCAACACCAGATCTTTCACACGTTGATCAATTAGCGGTTATTGTCAGATATGTTTCACCCGACGACGGTTTCCCAATCGAACGCTTTTTAACGTTCTTGCAATTAAATGATCACAGTGGAAAAAATATAGCTAATGTCGTACTTAATTATCTTGAGAATAATTGCAAAATTGACTTTAATAAGTGCAGAGGACAGTCATATGATAACGCTGCCAATATGTCAGGAATGTATAATGGCATGCAGAAAATCCTTCTGGACAAAAATAAATTTGCTGTATACTTTCCATGTGGTGGGCATTCACTAAATCTTATTGGTCGTGCCGCAGTTGATTGCTGCTTACCCGCGGTAAATTTCTTTGCTATTATACAGCAAGTATATACATTTTTCTCTGTTTCTACAAAACGTTGGACTGTTTTAAAATCGTGTTTGGTCTCTGACTCAACGGTACCAAAACGACTTTGTGATACGCGATGGGAGGCACATGCAAAGACTGTTTCAGCTATATCCGATGGTTATGAATCAATTATTGATGCTCTTCATTGTTTGTATACAAACGAGTATGAAAAAGGTGATACACGACGAGAAGCTGGTATTCTTCAGGAAAAAATGGAGGAATTAGAGTTTGTATTCATGTTAGAATTTTGGAATCGTATATTAGATGAGTTTCATAAAACCAGTAAAGCTCTGCAAGATTCAAAAATATCCCTCAGTACCTGTGCAAAGCTCTATTCATCGCTATTACAGTTTTTAAAGAAAAACCGAGACAGTTTCGATGAATTTGAAGCTAGAGCTAAAGAACGTTTACCTGATGTGAATTACAAAGCTGAAAATCAACGTCAAAGACGTAGGTACCTAAATGTACCTAATGTTGATGAAGATCTTTCGGCAAGAGATAAATTTCGCATAAAAGCGTTTATTGTTATGATGGATACGCTTGAAGCAAACTTACAGAAAAGAGCACTAATTTACCAAAATATTGCAGACAAATTTTCTTTCTTAGTTGATTTAGATGTCCCTGACAGTGAACTTCAGAATGGCGTGAAGTGTTTAATGAAAGATTATCCTGAAGATGTAGATATCAACCTTATCGGAAAAGTTAAACATTTTCATATTTACGTGAAGATGCACCATGCCGCCAATAATCAAAATTTAAACCACCAGGATCTATATCAAATAATCTTTAAAGATAAACTTAATTTAGCATTTCCCAATGTGGAAGCAACGCTACGGTTGTTTCTAAGTCTTATGGTGACTAATTGTTCAGGAGAACGGTCATTTTCGCGGTTAAAACGCTTAAAAAATGAATTACGCACCACCATGCTTCAACAAAAATTATCAGACCTTGCTATTTTATGTATTGAAGCTGAAAAACTTCGAACTTTATCATTTGACGATATTATTGATGACTTTGCAAAGCTAAAGTCTCGTAAAAAATTTTTCTAAAAGTACTACTTTTTAAAAAGATAACAACTAAAAAGAAATATTAAAAAAGTAAAAAATAAAAAAATTTTTAAAGTAAAAAATAAAAATTTTAAAAGAAAAAAAATTTTAAAAAAATTTAAAAAATACAAAAAAATTGTTTTAAACTCTATCGATAGATTCTCACCTTGACGCGGTGATGGAGCTTGCTTGACTAAGAGGAATCTTTTAATAGCGATATTTAAAATAGCTTATTATAGGGCTTTGGGATAGGGCCCACCTACCGTCGTAGCTTGGGGCCTCTGTATACCTTAGTCCGGCACTGACTAATGCATTTTTATTCTCTGCTAAAAAAGTGAATAGCGATCAAAAAGTGCTTTTGTTCTCTTTTTTCCAGAAAGCGCTGCTAGCGATGTCAGAGAACGCTATACGCGGCAGCGGCATCTTCAACCCGCATCAGCACGTCGATTGCGAACTCTTAGCTTTAGTTTTTAATCCGTATGAAGGAAACGATGTAAAAAAAAAATACGAATAAAATATTTTTCATTCGCATCACATATTTCTTTATTTCCCAGCCTCGATGCGCTATCGCACTCCGTTTAGATAAACAGCAGCCGGCGTCTCTCGTGTCTAGAGTTCCTTAGTTCTATAATCTGTCAACGCTTAAGATCAAAAGTGTTTTATACACAACTGTTGCCTGTAAATAATATCCTGGGTACCTTCGCTGCAACGAAGGATTACTCTCGGTGTCTGTCTTTGTCCAGTCTTGTTCGCGCGCAAGAGACTGTACTCGATGTGCGTGACTTCAACCTTACCATTTTTAAAATTTATTTTTTATTTTCTTTTTTTTACACGAATCATGTATGTACTCTGTGCCATTTAGAGAGTACATACACAATTCGTAACACATACGGTATTTTTTCGGGATAGTTCAGTGATTTTACTTATAGTGCAATGAGTGATCATCGAAAAGGGGCATTGAAAGGGGGAGGAGAGGAAGAGGATCCTCTTGTTAAATTTGAGAACAACAATGTTATAATTAAACTTGATAAACTATTCGTGTCAGAAATAAATCTTTTTTACGAGCTCCTTGAGATTGGTGAGTTGGAGGAGGTGGAGGAGGTGGAGGAGGAGGAGGAGGAGGAGGA